CAAGCTTCTGATCCCGGCCCTGTGTCAGGCCAAGTGTTTCCAGTTCCCGAAGCCTTCACCAGGAGGTACTCAGCATTTTGCAAGAGCAGATGCTCACCCCTACTTGAATGCAGCGAGAACAGCAGAAAGCCCCTCAGTTCCTTCCTGTCCTTATCCTGCTACATCTTGGCTGGGGTGAAGCACCCTCACAAGCGGTCATGCGTTCACATGCGGAGGTTTCACAAACTGTACCTGCCTTCGGAGGGTGACATGAGAGAAAAATGTGCTCTTTGGCCCTCGTTAAAAGCAAACAACCTTACTCTGTTTCATTGAGAAGTCCTAGGGCTCCAAGCTTGGAACAGGACTTGGAAAATGATCGGAAACGGGAGCCAGTCCTTACTGGATATGTGCCTTTCTCTGTTCTCATGAGAAACCACACGGCTTTGGCTATGTGATAAGCCTCTGGGAAAAAAACCAACCCTCTCGGTTTGCACATGTTCTCAGGAGGGCAGCTAAAAGCTCCAGAGACTCCTGTGTGCAGTGAGCACCCTCAACCATGGGCACGCAGGAGGATGGCAGGGCTTCCCCCATGGGTGTCCCTGCTCTATGGACCAGTGCAGCCTCCTGTGCCCAGAATGGCCCTGACAGTGGCACGGAAAGGGATGCAGCCAGGGGCAGGTGGCAGATGGGGACAGAGCATGGGATTGGGAGGCGAAGGGACTGGAAACAGCAGCTACGGCCAGACCAGAGGAGGAGTCGAGTGGGTGTCTGGGAACAACCAAGAGAGAAGAACAAGAATCTCCATTGAGAAAGACTAGAGGAAAAGCCACGGAGAAAGCTGGGAATGGGATGGGACCGGTCCTGGGACAAAGCCATAGCAGGGAGCTGTGCAGATAACACACGGGCGATGTAGCTGGGGCCCAATGGCTGATGCTGAGGGTAGGAGCAGTAAAGCCTATGGTAACCAGAGCCCTCTATTCCCCAGCTCCAGGAGTGGATTTCAGGGCTGCTGATGCCCATGGGCATCCCTGAAACCTCCTGGCAAAGAGTTTCTCTCGTCCCATTGCAGATGCAGCTCCCCTTAAGGAAGATGAGCCACTACCATCACTTCCCATCAGCTGAAGCAGCAGAAAGTTGTGCAGTGGAGTTCAAGTTTGCTCCATGCGAGGGCCAACATCATCCCGTGTAAAAGAACCTGTTGGTTTGGGTGTTTTGTTTCCAGTGGACTGAGCCGTCCCTCCCAACACTCACAAAGCAAACGCTAAGGCTGAAATGTCAAGTCTCTCAGAGCTAGGAAATGCCACACGTAACATGCAGCTTCAGCATTTCGGCTGGCCAGCCCTAACGTCTCTCAAGTCTCTCTAAAACAGGAGGAAAACCCAACCACGTTCATACTGAGGAGGTGCAAAGGAGGCTGTTAACACTTGTGAAGCTTTACGATGACAAACGCTGCAGGAAGGCCACAGAAAGGAAGGATCTCGTCTCCTCCACAGTGCACAGTAACGAGGGTTTCAGTCACAAACTGGAAAACGACAGGAAAAGGAGGACTATGGAAAACCCCCGCATTCAGCAAGCACTGCTCATTCTGGGTGTTGACTGTGTCAGGGCCCCAAGGGAAACAAAAATACAGAGTGCCATAAAAACTGCAGAGGAATAAACACAGTAACGCTTTAGCCTACAGCCTGGTCGTGGGGCTCATGCTGCAACCGAGCCTGTACCAGGACACCAGGACTACATCAGCATCCTGGACGCTGGGGTTTTGTCCTGGTCTGCACACATGCTCTGTGGCAACAGCCCTGCTGTAACGCGCTTTTTGGGTGCGCAGTGACTCAAGCTGTCCCCAGACAACACTGGCGACGTAATTCCCAATGCCCATAAAACATCCCTGCCCCAGTGACAGCAGGGATGGAGGCGAGGGGTAGGTTCATCAGAACGGCTGGAGCATGGTCCTAGTAACAACTGTGTTTGCAACCGTGATCGAATGCTCTGTGCAGTTCAGCTCTTTCAGGACTGCTGCTTGCCATTTCCTACCTCTTTAATAACTGCCTCCTTTTAACTAGGTACCAGCATGTTTCTCAGACTGCTACCTGCGTGAGGTGGCTTTCAAACGCCCATCTGCTCACTCTCTGCTAGCAGATTCCTTAAATTAAAGTATCAACGGGGCAGGAAAACGGATGCTTCCTAAGCATGGGGATAAAAGCAGGAGGAAGAGAACAGCACGGCTCTCGGCTTGCAAATCCAGAAGTTGAATAAAACCCCATACCTTGACAGAAGCACGGAAAAGTACCATCTGTGGCCAGTGCAGTGATGGGGCTGAAGGCAGTGCAGGGCAGTTACCTGCCCCCTCCTGTGTTTTTAGCTCTCTGTTCAGTTTGAAAGCACTGGGCTGCATCTGATCCAGCCCAGTAGCCTCTGTTTAGGTGTCCTGAGACTTGCCAAGCCTGTTACTAAGTGATGAGGTCTCCCACCACGTCCCCAAGGAGATTATCCTACCAGACCACATCGTTAGGAAAACGTTCCAGATAGCCAACCTAAATTGTGTTTAATTCAGTCCCATTGCTCCCAGCCGCACCGTTTGGACCACCCTAAATACGCCCATATTCGTCCGCAGAAGGAAAAGGCTGAGAGCTGCTTTGAGCTACGTTTGCCTATCATTTGTGGTAGCTGTGCTCCTGCCATCCCCTCTGCATGGGGCTGGAGCTCATTTGATGACAGGAGGGCAGTGCAGCACCGCCTCAAAGAGCTCTTGTACCCCGAGCTGCTGGGGCAGCACGGCCAGGACTCATAGGCAGAGCAGGGAGCACACAGCAAAGCCAACTGTGGAGGATGATTCAGGGATATTTCTACCTTGGATGAATTCTGGCTGATGCTCTGGAATAAGGGCCGTGTTTTGATTTTCTCGGTGTTGCCGGGAAGGTGTGTGCGGCTCTGCTGAGGAGGTTTCTAGCGCGTCACTCCCAGACCGGGGGCAGGAGCCAGCTACTGCCGCTTACATCTGCTGAAGGGCGATCAGCCTGCAAGGGAAGGTGGCTCCCACCCAAAAGAACCAGGCTTTTTAATTAACCTGGCCATGGAGGCTCGAGTTTGGAGAAGGAAAAGTTACCAAACAGAGCGACACAGCCAAAGTCTTGATGAAAGGGGGGGATATGGAAACAGACTCACGGGGCCACACCAAAAGCTTGGCACAAGATGCAGGAAGCCTTGGGCAGGGGAAAGGAAGTCATGGCGTGGTTTCACAGCAAAAAAGAGAGGGCCCGGTTTGCTACGGGACCGGCCAAGGTCAGAAGAGACACGCTGGGCTGGAAAGACTCCACCGACCAGGAAAGCAGTCGTGAACTTCGCAGACAGATCCCAGACCACCGAGGAGATCCTGACCCCAGCCCAGAGACATTCCAGAAGCGTCAGGAAACTGAGGCAGGGAAATGAACCGAGGCTTTATGGCTTTTTCTTGCTCAGCATAATGGTGTATTCATAGTCCACCTGAATGTGTCTTTGCTAGCGTCAATCTGACGTTTCTGAACACTTTAACTCGAGGGCCCACAGACTCCTTAAGGAGTGGGTTTAACTTCTGGAGAAGTGAGCAGACGGCTGCAAGAACAGGGAAATGAACCAACGTCACAGCTCCGCTACTCTCTAAAGAACCCGACCTCCTACAGAAATAACACATATTCCTATTTCCTAAAATGTTAGCTACATGTGTACCCCATCTCCTCATAGTTCTCGCTGCAGATTAACAACCAAACGTGACCTGACTCAGCTCTCCTAGTGACTCATGCAGATGTGGCATTCAGGGACACGGCTTAGCGGTGGACTTGGCAGGGCTGGGTTTACAGTTGGCCTCGATCTTAAGCGTCTTTTCCAACTTACTTAAGCTGCGATGCTCTGCTCAGGGGAGGACACAGATGGAGCATCAAGGATGGTGCAAATCTTCAGTGACGGTGGGGCAACGGGTCCTGCAAGGGCCACTGATGTGATGGGCAAAGCAGTGGGCACAGCCTCTGGTATACAGGGACCAGGACCACAGAGCACTTTTTGGGTGTTTCCCACAGCGTCTGAGGCTTGCAAGATCAATACTTAGTTTTCACAAGGCTTTTTTACTTCTAATTTGAAGGAAAATTTGCCATATGGATAAATGACAACACGTTACGCTACACTGAGTGCCAACCCTGCTTTGTGTCAGGACTCTTAAAACCGGGAAACCACCCGTAAAGACAGAGTGAGCAAACAAATCCTGATCTGACTAAATAACTTCACATGAAGCCTGCAAAGGAACTCACTTTTGTCCTCAGTCCACACCCTGGAGCAGGGATCTGCCAAACCCCAACGATAAATATTCATTAAAAAGCCCTCTGCTTGGGATGCAGTCACCGAGACAGCCACTTCCTGCCCATTATCTCTGGGGCAGGAAATCAGCAGCTCCACTCAGGCGGTCACTGCAGCGCTGCCATGCGCGCTTCCACCGGAGGGCTTTGCTTGGCCCAAATGAAGCCCCAAAGTTGCCTTTAATGGCAGTGAAGCAGACCTGAACGTAGCTCTCCTTGTGTTTAGTACTGAGCACAGCAGCTCCTGGTATGAGATTCCACGATGCTTGGAGCAAGGTGAAGGGGAACACACTGGGGCTGTGGTATCTACCAAGAGAAGGATGTCTGATGGATTACTTGACTGCATTGCCCCTGACCGACAGAGATTTCTACTCCAAATAACAGCTCCTCCTGCCGAGGACAACTTCAGGCTGATCCAATTGTGGTCTCTGGGAAAAGCTTGTCTCAGCACCCAATCTTTTCCTTTATAACAATAACACAGCCGAGCTTTTCTGCCAACTTCAGAGGAGCAAGTCCCTGAACTGTTCTTATGCCAAGAGGCTGTACTTTCCACGAAGAACAAAGCCTAACGTTACAGGACAGCACACTGTACAACTGCCACTGTTTACTGGCACTTCATGAAGAAGCAAGAGTAAAATCTCGAGGAAGAAATCCTGAAAATGATTACAAATGCACTGGAAATACAGCTCCTCTACTTACCTTTGCTTTCCAGCCGCTGATCGCTTCCAATCAAACAGTCCTTGATGTCTGCGCCCTTCTCTATCACGGCGTTATGACAAATAACACTGCCCTGAAGACAGCACCTACAATACAAACACAAAGCAAAGCAAGAAGATAGATTAAAATGACAGGTACAAAACAAAGGTACTCACCAAAACATCTCACGAGCCTGTGACGTGCTCCTGTAAGCAGGTTCAGTTCTGCTCTCAGAAACTCCACCATTCTTCCCCTGATCCTCATGCCCAGTTGCTGAAAAAACTCAAAATGGGTTTGCAAAAAAGGGTTTCCAGTTTTACCTCCTGTTAGAACAGCCTTCCTTAAGAGAATAAATGCTGCCAGAGGATGTCCTAGACAGGACACCGGTTTGGGACCTGGATCACATCTCATGTTTCCCATAGCCTGGGTAGCTGCAGGGTGGTTTCTCTGCTCAGCTCCCCAGTTACAAAGAGGAGCAATCACCCAGTCCTGCCCTGCAGGTCTTGCTGAGAAGTTTCATACGATCCAGCTTGCCAGGCACTCAGAAAGGGTGGTGAGAAGGAGGGGATGGATAACTCAGCTGGTTGGCTTTGCTCATGTCACATTCAAGCACACAAACACGATGACTCTGCAGCACTAAAGCAGCAGGACCCATCCTGGACCTGCTCTACCTGCCTTGGACATCTTCACACTCACTTGGACACCACTGAGTCTGAAATGCTGCATGGGATGGGACTTGAGCAAAAGTCACCTTCTTCCCAAATGCGTTTGATCTGTGATAACCAGCTTTCAAACCTGCTGGTCTGATTGCCCAGATAGGAGAGAAGTGCAGAGTCTGAGTGCTGGCTTCATAACTCCTCTGCTGAGCGAGTCACCGCGCTGCTCTGAGCCCCTCCATGCAGTCACATGGAAGTTGTGAATCTTCACAGGTATCCGGGATGTGTCTGGAAATGCTGCTCACTCAGCATCATGAGTAGTGTTAAATGATATTAAATGCAATTTCTTTCAAGACTACAGAGAAAAAACTAGTTACAATGCAAATGGTTTGTTTCCTTATTTTCCCATGTGCAAAGATGGGCAGAAGTCATTGAAGGGCAGAAAATCTGAAGGCATCCAGCTAAGAGGCATCTAAAAACAGAGTGTAACACACATCAAAACCAGCTGATTAGGAGGAAGGTGTAAGTGAGATAGCTAATACAGCAAGATAGCTGATATAGTGAGATGCTAATGTAACAAGATGCAGGTAATCTGCTCCCTCACATTAATCCTAATGTGAACCACAGAGTGGTTTGGGTTGGAAGGGACCTTAAAGCTCATCCAGTCCAACCCCTGCCATGGGCAGGGACACCTCCCACCAGCCCATGGCATTTCCTACCTTCTCCCCAGTATTTCTGCTAATATTCATTAAAACAGCCATGGATATTCTGGTTATCCTCAGTCAAACAGCTGCTCTCTGAAGTCTTTGGCATCAGTGACTTTCAGCATGGTGAGTTCCTCAGTGTAATGACCTGCAGCCATTCCCTGCCTTGGTCCCAGGCATCACCACTGCTTGTGGCAGCAGTGACCGAGCTGCACCGCTCCATGGGGCTGGACTGTGGACAGAGCAGTTACCTCGAGTCTGAACCAACACAAAGAGGGGTTCTGGTGCCAGGTCCAAGCCCTGCACTCCGGTTCTGCATTGAACAGAGCACGGGCAGGCAGCAGTCCTCATGAGAAGAGAGAAACAGCAATGCTTACTGCAGACTTGCCAATCCCAAAATGAGTTTCTAGCCTTTTCCTGCTCACACATCGCTATTTTCTAGCATGCAGAATATGCCCACTATTATCCAGTATGCAGAATTTGCCCACTATTATCTAGCATGCAGAACTTGCCATTGAACTTATTACAATTCTGCTGCTTGTGTGAGTCGGAGCAGAAACCATCTGCCCAACGAAACCAGCATTAATTCTGCAGGAGTAAAAGCAATAAAACCGGACCTCGGCCGCAGCGGTTAGCAGTTACAACCCCCCTTGAACAGACTGTCCCCTCTGAACAGCTTTCATTTAACTCGCTTGAACTCCCCCTTCTCTGACCTATAAGGAGGCAATAGGAGCAATTACACTACAAGCAACCAGCTCGGGTTGCCTTGGCAAGGTTTTCACTAACATGTTAATAAGATAAAAAGCGGCAGAGATACACAGCAGACCCCCGCCTGCCTTTGCTCTCACTGTCACCATCTGCTTCCTCTCCAATAGCTCCGTGTGCCTGCGCAGCAGCAGCTCAGGCCATCGCCTTGCGCAACAGCGGTCGCTGAGAGCCAGAGCAGCTCCAGGGGATGGATGGGATGGGAGTAGGACAGCCTAGGAGCGCCATCCTGACCCGGCTTCCAACAGGAGCAATGGGAGAGGTTGCTCATTTCCCACTGCAATGGCTCCCATCCAAAATGTACGCTGCAAAATACAGAATCCCAGCATGTGAGGAGTTGGAAGGGCCCTGCAAAGCTGATCCAGTGCAACCCCTGCCACAGCAGGATCACCAGAGCAGTCACACAGGAACACGGCCAGGGCTTTGGGTGTCTCCACACAAGGACACTCCACAACCTCTCTGGGCAGCCTGGGCCATGCTCTGGCACCCTCACAGTAAAGAAGTTTTTCCTCAAACACCTCCTCCTCCGTTGCTGCGAGCCACTCAGATGAGAGCTTTCCCACGCACACTTTGAGGTTCCCACCATCTATCGCTTGATGAGAGCCATTGTGAGTGCACCACATCTCTCAGCATCATCCTGGTGCAGGAAGAGGATGCTCGCTGACAGGAATTGGAGCTGTTGGGCTGGAGAACTGGGATGTGTGCTCAGAACTGCTTGGGGACAGCTTTTTGGGGAAAGAACAGCGTTGTAACCAAGAACCTGGTTAGTAGGGCAGAGAGGTTCTCCTGCCCCTCTGCTCTGCCCTGCTCAGACCCCAAATGCAATCTTGTGTCCAGTGCCGGGCCCTCTGTTCAAGAAGGACAGGAACTGCTTGAAAGAGTCCAGCAGGGCCACAAAGATGATGGAGGTGCGGATACAGCACCCATGGTGAGCCAGTGGCCTTGCCATGTTTCCTTACCATACAAGCACTATCACTTGGAGAAGTGAACACTGTGGAGCATCTCCTGCTGAGGAGCGGCTGAGGGAGCTGGAGCTCTTGAGCTTGGAGCAGAGGAGACTGAGGGGTGCCCTCATTCCTGGGGATCCATTGGGAAAGGGCAGTGTCAGGAGGAAGGAGCCAGGCTCTGCTCTGGGATGGCCAATGGCAGGACAAAGGGGCAAGGGCCCCAGCTGGAGCACAGGAGGTTCCAGCTGAAGAGGAGGAGAAACTTTGTGAGTGTGAGGGTTATGGAGCATGGCCCAGGCTGCCCAGAGAGGTTGTGGAGTCTCCTTGTGTGGAGACACCCAAAGCCCTGGCCGTGTTCCTGTGTGACTGCTCTGGTGATCCTGCTGTGGCAGGGGTTGCACTGGATCAGCTTTCCAGGTCCTTCCAGCTCCTCACATGCTGGGATGCTGAGATTCTGTGAACCTGCTGCTGACATTAACACCAAAGATAAGGGGGTTGTTCCTGTCAAACTGTTTTTTGGGAGGGACAGGCCAGGGCACCCAGATGAATTCGATGCTTGCAAATCAACCCTTCCCTGCTGCCAGGGCAAAAGGAAACCCAAGAGCTCCGCCACGCCAGGAGTTTCTAAAACCTTATAAACACAACCGACTGCAGGAGCTTTCAAACCAGAGGCAACGCTCAGATTACCCCAGCCACACAAACCAGCAGCGAATCCGGCTTTTATTGCTCGAGTGGAACAAAACTTCAAGAGATAAAAACACGACTTGTGGGTGTTCCCTTCACCCGCTGACAGATGTAACACAGCCATTTTGAAACCACTTGTAAATGCCTTTTTCTTTTTTTTTAAAAAAAAAAGCACGTTACAAAGGCTGCCAAGAGAACTATTTCGTGTGTTTATTTAATTTTAACTATATTTTAAATCGAAGAGCAAGGAATAAGCTTTTATTCTCGCAAGGGGTAAATACCACATCTCGGGGCACCCTGCTGTGCTCTCCTTGGCTAAACAGCCCCCGTGGTGGTTCCTGCCCTGCGTAGCAGTGAGGTGCTACTCGTCCTCAGCGGGGCTGTGGCAGCACCCAGCCCCATCAACGCCGCTGTGCGCGCACATTTCATGTGCTGCCTCCCAACGCAAACCATGTAATTTCTTTTCCGAAAGCGCAGTGTATCTTGAAACCTTTCAGCAGGGCGAAAAGGGATCTCCTCTGACCTTAAAATCCAGCGAGCGCGTTCAAACCCACAAGAGGAACTCGTTCGGGCCGCCTGATTTACGGCCAAAATTTCGATGTGAATTTGTTTCGAGCGCGATCACAAACTGAACGCCTGGCAGCTGTGTTGTTTGTTTTTTTTTCCAGCAAATAAAGACAAATATTCTGGAGAGAGCGCTGCACAAGCCCGGTCCTGCAGCGGGAACAGATCACTTGCCATGCAGGTACAGCACGGGAGCGAGCGTGCGCGTACGCCTGTGCACGGCTGCGTGCTGGGCGCCTGGACATGGGGCTGACTTCGGGGTGGGTTTTTTTGGGAAAGCCAGGGAACAAGAGCAAAAGGAGTAGTGGCCAAGGAGGCACGGGGGGAGATTACAAGGATTTAGGGCTTTAAACTGCAGACCACCTAACGAGATCACTCTGCAACGCCACTAATTTCGGCGAAGGCCACAGACCTCCCTTCCTCTGCCCTCCCCTCCTCTCCCCCATTGTAAACAAGTAATCCCAGCAGAAAACAACAGCGCAGAACGTACACACACTCTGCAACATTCCAGGGCCTTCTTTATCTTCTATTTATTTTTCTAAAAGGTCAGCCTATGTATGGAGGGAGGGGGGGGAGGGGGAAGAGAGCCAAAAAAACCTCAAGTCCATCTCTTGTGTGGGCTTGGAGGAAGCCGGGAGAAAGCAAAGTCCAAGAGCGTACAATATGGAGCTTTTATAGCGCAGCCATTCCTGGACTTGGCTTCCTCTCCCCTCCCTCCACTTGTGGCAAAGCCGCATAGCTTGAAACCAGAGGCCAGGGTGGTCGATTACATCTGAAAGAAATGTAA